AACAGTGTCTCAAACTGCTCGCCGAAGGTTATAGGGAATGGTTTGCACAGATCAACATTTGACACGTTAATGAGCTGCATTTTGAGTGTAACAAGCTCAAATGATTTATTGGATATTATGTTCAGTCATATGTGGGGGACCCGCGGGTGAGATGTTAAATGGGACTTGTGTTTTGAACAAGCCTTTGGCTAAACGATTGTGTATCATGCTTGGCCCTTTGACTGTTCTATAAGAGGGTCTCAGATGATCTTTAAAGAAGAAGCTAAGGTCCAACTATTCTTCATCATCGATGTGGTATTGCTTGTAACCCTTTGGGTTTGGGCTTTCAGGTATGTAAATCTCCTTGAATTTTTCTCCCAACTTCTTCATCCTGGAGCTCTCTAGTCTTCCGTCCTTCTCTTTAAGGCCTCCTTTCAATAGGGAAAAGACCTGACTGCGACTGTCTTCCATTCTTGGAAGGCGTCTTCAATCCCACAATAAAGGTCATGAGGCCGTTTCCTGTGACACTCCATGATGCCTAAGTTAGTGAGAGAATATGGGAAATAGAGTATAGTGGGGAGCAATTGGGTTACCACTTAATGTCGTTTGGAGGAGGGGTATTTATACCCAGATTGAGGATGATCTGAGCATTAAATGCAATGTCAGGCGTCCTACGTAAGTCCTTTCCAATAGGAGACGCATCTAAGAGTAGTAAATACTTGGTCAAGCAGATATCATGGTCTGTATCTAACAGATCTTCTAGCCTAGGCTCGTTATCCATTGGATAAAGGTCTTACTCCCTTGTCAGTCATCCTCTTAATGTTCCATCCTAGAGTGGCAGCCTCCACCACTTTGTTTTATATGTCTAACTCGTTACGAAATAATTAGACGTCAAAATACACTTTCATAGCCACAACTTTCGAAATACACAAAATAGCCACTTTCGTCCATCCCTTTAACGACGTCACTTAATGGTATGACTGGATTGACGGAAAATGCTGAGTGGAAATGCTGAGTTGGCGACAATTAGTCAATAATAATATGAGGTGGAATTAATTGAAAAAAATGTATTATATAAACATTTGTATTTTCTCTATCCCATCTCTCTACATCTCCGTCGCACTCGCCCTCTCTCCTCCGACTGGCATCTCCGTTTCCCCCTTCTGTTTCGCTTTGTTGACCAACGACGATGGCGGGTGCACTAGTCGCCGCCCTTGCCTCTCCGCATGCCCTCATCTTTCTTCCCACTGCTCCGAGCCGCTGTTTCCTCCTCCTCCGTATACTCCATATTTCAAATGAACAGATCTGGCTTCGTCACTAGTAGCCTAGAATTAGAGCCCTCCGGTCGGGGATTCCATCTACGATCCATTTCCAAACCAAAATCCCCCTTTTTCAATAACTCGTATCTGTATCCCCAAACTATAAAAAACAACTAATATACGTATACCCACCCCGAGATTTGAATAGGAGAAAGGTGTGGGAGTGGGTGACGCTGGGGTAGAGCGCACGAGATGAGGACTGTCAGATTGGTGCGAACAGACGCTCACCACCTCACTCTAGACTAACGACAGGATCCCGAGATTAGATTCAAGCAGCGAGACCTCCCAGTGAACCAATGATGTCGATGCATCCTCCGTCATAGGGGAAATCGAAGAGGTGAACGGGTGGTGATGGCGGATTTGATGTCGGCGGTGGGAGTGGGCGGTGGTGGCGGATTGATGTCGACGGTGGGAGTGGGTTGTGGTGGCGGATTCGATGTCGACGTGGAAGTGGGCGGAGGGGAGAAGGTTGGAGGAAGGGGAAGGGTGATGTCAGTGGTGGGAGTGGGCGGAGGGTAGGTGGGAGGAAGGGGAAAGGTTACGGAGTTTTTATTTTATTTTTATTGCTTATAATTAAATATTTTTAGGTAAATATGATGTGTAATCTACATGTCACTTGTTGTTGATTTTTTGATGATGTGTGCGCTGATTTGGCGTCCTAGTCAGCGTTTTGATAACATAATTGACGACGTCACTAACGTTGTTAAAGTTTGTAATGGAAATGGCTAGATTTGTCACACTACCATATAATTTTTCACTATTTTGTGTATTTCAAAAGTTGTGGCTATATCTGTCACAAACGTGAAAGTTGTGACTATGGAAGTGTATTTTCCCTAATTAAACAATATACTTTGAGTCTTTGACGTTTTCTAACCTTAAATATTTCCAAAAGCAAGTTGAAGCCCACTTCTTTTACCCTATACACTATATATAAGCATTTTCAACATTTGTTCTGGATATAGGAAGTTTATTAGCATATGGGTAATAGCATTTTGTACCCCTCTACAATAATAAATTAACAAACATGCCCATCTACTAAATTTTTGCACAAACATACCCTTTTAATATTAAAACGTAACGAGTATGCCCTTCCATCTAATTATCTGTTATGTGACTGTTAAATGGCTTGTGAAATTACCCAATTACCCCTCATTTACTCTAAATACTCCTAATTTTGATTTTAATTATTTTATTATTCCCAAATCAATTAATTAAAAAATAAAAACCCTAACTAATTCACGTACAAGTGCACTCGACCAAGACCATCCATCTCCTCGGCGGCGGCGCCTGCCCCGACATCCCCTCGCCGGCGGTCGAGTAGAGACTAGAGAGTAGTAATCAAACAAAGCAAGGTTACTGGATCCAATGGGATAACGTATAAAAGCTAGATTACTATGTAGTAAGCAATAAAATCAACCCAAACTCGACGCCTGTATATTTTATTCCCTGCATCTAATATACAACTTACTGAAAATCAAAGCTAGGTTACTGGATCCAAGAGGATAACAGTATCAGGACAATCGGATATCGGATCTCAGCCAAGCAAGTATTTGTGCAGGATGCTTGATCACACTCTCTCCATCCGGATCTGGGATGACTATTTCCTCGGAGGGATCAAGCTTCTACAGGCTGGCATCGGAACGTCGCATGAGAAGCCGGGGAAGGTCGCCCCTGCTGTGTAATCGAGGAGAGCAACGGGTGACATCGGAATGTCGCGGAGAGAATCCGGGAATCTGGCCGTCGGGTCTTGCCTATCGATCGGTTATCTCTCCTCCAGCCGCCGGCGAGGGGATGCCGGGAGCAGGCGCCGCCGACAAGTCAAGGACTAATCGGCAGGGGAAACTTCAGAGGAGACGGACGGTCTCTGGTCGAGTCTGTCTGTGCGTGCGAATTAGTTAGGGATTTGATTTTTTAATTAATTGATTAAAAAATAAAATAATTAAAACCAAAATTAGGAGGGTTTAGAGTAAATGAGGGTAATTGGGTCATTCCACATGTCATTTAACGGTCACATAATAGATAATTTGATGGAAGGGCAAATTCGTTACGTTTTAATATTAGAAGGGTATGTTTGTACAAATATTTAGTAGAAGGGAATGTTTGTTAACTTAACATAATAGAAGGATACAAAATGCTATTAACCCTTAGCATATCATTTAACGACTTCAACAATGCCCCACTGCCACTAGTGCCCTCAAATTATCACATGGAAGGGTCTGTACGCGTTAGAGACTCATCATCATGGAACACTAAAAATAAATGAATGGGTCCACGTGGTCGGCTAAGATTTATAGGCAGGCTATCCAACGTACAAGCAAAGCCGATATTATTGTCATTGCTTTTTCTTCCTTTTTACATTTCTTCCTTCCTCTGCCTTTCCGCCTGCTCCATACATATTAAAACACGGGACGGGATACGGTGACAATCCCTAAGAGGGTTATCAGATTCACAACCCACATCATAGCCCTTGGATACGTTCTCTCTCCTAAATCTTTTTTCTTTTTTTAAATTAACGGTTAAGATTAAAGGAAAGGTATTTTTGGAAGGGTAAAAATTTACCACACCCAATCATTCACCCTACCATATAAAAAGAAAAAAACCCTAACTCCTCCATCCTCCCTCTCTCCTCCCTCTCTCCCGTAGCCATCACTGTCTCTCCTCCCTCTCTCGCAGAGCCCTCCGCCGCCACAGCCCTCCACCGCCGGCGTCGGCGCCCCTCCGCCTTCAGCCGCCTGTCAAGCCTTCAATCGCCATCTCGTCTCCGCCATCTCCGCCGCCACACCACTGCCGCAACGTCCGCCTGTCGAGCCTTCAACCGCCATCTCGTCTCCGCCATCTCCGCGTCACAATCATCCTCTTCGCCGTTCGTCCCCCACCACTACCGCCGTCGCGAGGTCACCCTCTTCCCCTACCTCTTTCTCCCGTCACCGACTCCCCTTTTCTAGATCTGGTTTTTTAGTGGTACCATTTTTTTTCTGGTAGCGTACCAGTGATAGTGGTAGCATACCACTATCATCTGGTACCACTATCATCTATTTTTTTGTGTTATTCTCTACTGGTATCGCTACCAATGCTAGTGGTAGCGCTACCAGTGCTAGTGGTACATTTATTCTCTACTGGCACCGCTACGAATGCTAGTGGTAGCTACCAGTGCTAGTGGTACATTTATTCTCTACTGGTACCGCTACCAATGATAGTGGTATCGTTGTACTGGTAGCGTACCACTAGTACTGGTACATTTTTTAACGCATTGGTAGCGTACCACTAGCACTGGTATATTAATTACCAGTAGACTAATGGATTGGTACACTTTTTAACGCACTGGTACATTTTTTCAGGTTGCCGGAGGAGTCTGTCGGAGAGAATTCGCCGGAGAAAAAGTCTGTCCGTCGATGCGGAGTGGCCGCTGGAGAAAGGAAGAGAGAGATAGATAGAGATATTAATGTATATGATTTAAATTAAAAAAAATTGTATTTAATATGAGTTTTTAATTCTCAATATAATTAATACACAAAAGGTAATTAATATATTCTTTTTTTCCATACCCAAAATACCCTTGGTTGTGAATCTGTCTGACAACCCCTTAGGGTTGTCACCGTATCCTGTCCCTTAAAACACCACCACCACCACCTCTTTCATTAATAAAAGCAAATTGCTTGTCATTCCGCAAAACTATACGCGATTCCCGCAATTATATCTCTTTCCTCGCTCCCACGCCAGTTCACCCATATTAAAATCTGCTGGAAGAAGAAACAAGAGATCGCAGTGAGAAGAAAGTGAGAACCAGAGGTAAAAGATGGGGAAAGACAAGACGATCGGAGTGGCAATGGACTTCTCAACCAACAGCAAGAATGCGCTGAAATGGGCACTGGATAACTTGGCGGATAGGGGTGACACCATCTACATCATCCATGTCCATTCCAACGAACTCCCCGAGGGTAGAAATGAGCTCTGGGGCAAGGCCGGCTCTCGTAAGTCGTCTTCTTTTTTATTTTTATTTATTCATTTATTATTTCAGCACCTGATCTGATCTGATCTAATCTGGGTTTTTGGGTCTTTTATCTGTTCGTCGTTTTTGCATCTGAGAAGCTTTGATTCCGCTGTCGGAGTTCAGAGAGCCGGGGATTATGAAGGGGTATGACCTAAAGCCAGATGCTGACGTTCTCGCTCTGCTTGATACCGTGACCAGGCAGAAAGAGGTAAAAGGAGAGGGGTTCCATCTGGGAACTTTCTGAGTTTGACGGTAGATCGCAGTAATTAAGGTTGTCACTGAGATTTTATTTGTTTCAGATCAAAGTTGTGACGAAGCTTTACTGGGGAGGAGACGCGAGGGACAGAATCGTTGACGCGGTCGAAGGGCTGAAGCTGGACTCTGTTGTGATGGGAAGCAGGGGACTTGGAACTGTGAAGAGGTCAGTAAGGAAAAATAAGGAAAAAATCCCACTGTACACATGTTTTTAAAAAAAATTCTCAAAATACACATGTTATGAAAAAATTTCCAATCTACGCATGTTTGGGCCTTCACCGCGTCAGACTAACGCGGTGATTGCTTCACCGTGTTGAAGAAGAGCGGTGAGTGCATCACCGCGTTAGACAAACACGGTGATTGCATCACCGCTGTAGACAAACACGGTGATTGCTTCATCGCATTCAACGGCCGCGGTGAAGGCCTGACCTGCGTCGAATCTTTAAAAAAACGTAATTTTGTGCTCGGTTATCCGATCGTAGTGAAATTTTTTTTGATTCCGCATAATTTTTCGAGATCTTGCAAGCCGCAAACCGCCGCCTTCGTCCCGAAAAAACGTCGTTTGCTACCCCGAACGAGCCTTTTTTCGATTTCGTCAAACTTTGAACGATCATAACTTTGTGCCACAATCGAAAATCGTGAATTTTCTTTTGATTTTGCATAACTTTTTGAGGACTACAATTTTTATCATAGACATAATTCGGAATTACTGGATTCCTGAAAAGAGAAGGTAAACTTTCCCAAAGGCCCGTATATCCAAAATAATTCATTTTTTGAAAATTCTCTCCTACTAAAAATTGTAGTCCTCAAAAGTTATGCAAAATAAAAAAAAATTCACGATTTTCGGATTGTGGAGCACAAAGTTATGATCGTTCAAAGTTTGACGAAATCGAAAAAAGGCTCGTTCGGGGTAGCAAACGACGTTTTTTCGGGACGAAGGGGGGACCAGCGGTTTGCAGCTTGCAAGATCTCGAAAAATTATGCGGAATCAAAAAATGAAGCAGCCCAACAGTCTCCTTCCGGGCCGAGGCATAGCTACGCCTCCATAGCTCAGTGTCAGTGGTGCGAGAGCCCGAATCACCTGGTGAAGGACTGTCAGTCTATGAGGGAGTCCTCTACTCCCCAAGAGCAGGTGGACTTCATCGCCAATGCTCGGCGCCTGGACCCATATAGCAATACCTACAATGAGGGATGGCGCCAGCATCCCAACTTCGCCTGGAGCATCACTCACCACCCTTCCGTCCAAGTCTTTGCTGTCGAATTTGTTGTATCAATTCAGAAAAATGGTTTTTTAAAAAATCAATAGTTTATATTGGTGTATCAACTTCTAAAATTGACATCACTGCTACCTTTTGTCACTGCAAGTGTTGAAACATCATTTTCTGCAATAAACTTCGTAAAGAACACACTTCGGAATTGGATGGGTGATGAAATCATAATAATTCTTTGGTTGGTTACATTAAGAGAGACATATTTAATAGTCTGGATGATCAATGTATTTTACATATTTTTTTCACAATATGAAAACACGTTGTGTATCATTACAAAACATTAATATAAGTTATGAATAACTTTTTTTTAGCATTGGACCCACCTTAGCAAAATTTCTGGCTACGCCACTGGTACCAGCGGCCACCACCACAGCAGCAGCCCTTCCATGCTAGGCAGGGGCCACCACCACAGCAGCAGCCCTACCAGCCTAGGCAGGGGCAGCCATTCCAGCAGCCCCAGCGCCAGTATGCCTAGCCTCAAGCAGCCGCAGCTCCAGATAATCATATGGCTGATCTGAAGAATATTTTGAAGGCATTCATGACTACCAGCAAGGAGAATTTCACGAGGATGGATCAGAACATAGCCTCACTGGAGGCAGGCCAGAGAAACCAAGGTGCCATTCTGCAAGATCTACAGAATCAGATTGGGAGCTTACCTCGACAGAACACTACCAGGGCATCGGGGACTCTGCCTGCCACCACTGTTCCAACCCCTCGTGACCCTCTCCAGCAGCTGGACGCCATCACCACCAGGAGTGGCAAGACCATATCTGCTGCTCCTGCCCAGATCGGGCGAGACGACCCACTACCTGCTTCAACACCCAACACCTCCAGCTGATACTGCAGAAGTGGGGGAAGGTAGCGAAGCACCTGCTCCCAAGCCGCAGCCTGTGGTTAAGGAGCATATACCCCAGCTGCCCTTCCCCACTCGACTTCATAAAGACAAGCTGGAGACAGAGTTTGCCAAGTTCATGGCAATGTTGAAGCAGGTCAACATCATCAAGCCGTTCGTGGAGGCACTGTCGAAGATGCCCAAGTATGCCAAGTTCTTGAAAGACCTCCTCACCAACAAGAAGAAACTTGGGGATCTCTCGACAGTGATGCTAAGCGAGGAGTGTTCTGCTATCCTGCAGAACAAGCTGCCCGAGAAGCGCAAAGACCCAGGGAGTTTCACTATCCCTCTTGTTATTGGCAGCATGCATGTAGGAAAGTCCTTGGCGGACCTAGGCGCTAGCATAAATGTCATGCCCTATAAATTGTTTAAGAAGCTAGACCTAGGTGAACCTAGAGCTACTAGGATGAGCATTCAGTTAGCTGATCGTTCTATCGTGCATCCTAGGGGTATCATTGAGGACTTGCTTGTTAATGTGGTGCATTCACATATCCTGTTGATTTTGTTATTTTGGATATAAATGAAGATGTGGATGTGCCTTTGATTTTGGGTAGACCGTTTCTCGCCACTGCCAAGGCGCTTATTGATGTGCATAGTGGTAAATTGATCTGCGTGCTGGTGATGAACAGGCTACTTTTTCTGTGTCTGACAATGGGAAACATTCTCATTTGCATGATGACTACTGTGATGTGCTTACGATTTTGAGACCGCACTCGCCATCACGAGTGCGGGTACTGATGATGCTCTTGAGCGTTGTATTTTGCTAGGTGAGCAGGCATCGCAGGAGCCGCAGCTGGCGGAGCAGTTGGCCGCATTGGAGAGTGGCCCCTTCTTGGAGGGCGACAGGCTGTTTAAACCGATCTCATCCTCCACCCGCATCACACTCCTTGGAGGAACCACCAGAGCTGGAGCTTAAGCCCCTCCCTCCTCATTTGGAGTATGCATTTCTCCGGGAGGGGAATAAGCTGCCAGTCATCATCAGCTCGACCCTCACACCCGAGCAGAAGACCAGACTGGTGGCCTTGCTGAAGCAGTACGAGCGAGCTTTGGCATGGAAGATCACAGACATCCGGGGGATCAGCCCCTCCTTTTGCTCCACCGGATACTGCTGGAGGATGAGATGCGGCCAGTGAGGCAGCCGCAGAGGAGATTGACACCGAACCTGGAGGCTGTGGTTCGGGCAGAGATCGTGAAGCTGATGGACGCGGGGATCATCTTCGCCATTTCTGACAGCGAGTGGGTCAGTCCCACCCAGGTGGTGCCCAAAAAGGGTGGGATGACCGTGGTGCCTAACGAGAAGAACGAGCTCATCCCGATGCGCACGGTGACTGGGTACCGTGTTTGCATCGACTATCGGCGTCTCAACGACGCCACTCGGAAGGACCATTTCCCGCTGCCGTTCATTGATCAGATGCTGGAGAGATTGGCGGGGCACGAGTTCTACTGCTTCTTGGATGGGATGTCCGGGTACTTTCAGATCCCTATTGCACCGGAGGACCAGGCGAAGACCACTTTCACCTGCCCCTTCGGCACATTTGCTTACCGGAGGATTCCATTCGGGCTATGCAACGCCCCAGCCACTTTTCAGCGATGCATGCTCGCCATCTTTGACCGTCTGGTCGGCGAGATATGGAGGTGTTTATGGACGATTTCTCGGTTTATGGAGACTCATTCTCTCACTGTCTCCATAACCTGGAACTTGTTCTTAAACGGTGTGAAGAAACGAACCTGGCACTGAGTTGGGAGAAGTGTCACTTCATGGTTCGAGAAGGCATAGTTCTTGGGCATAAGATCTCCAAGATGGGGATTGAGGTGGACAGAGCAAAGATCGAGACTATCAGCAAGCTGCCTCCTCCTACATCTGTTAAGGGGATCCGGAGTTTTCTTGGCCATGCAGGGTTCTACAGGCGGTTCATCAAGGATTTCTCGAAGATCGCCCTGCCCCTGACTAAGCTTCTAGAGAAGGATGCCCCCTTCCAGTTCACTGATGCTTGCACAGCGGCGTTACCACCTTGAAGGAGAAGCTCAAGCTCCTATCATGGTTGTTCCTGACTGGTCCCTACCATTTGAGCTGATGTGCGACGCCAGTGACTTTGCTGTTGGAGCTGTTTTGGGGCAGAGGCGAGATCAACACTTCCGACCTATCTACTACGCCTCGAAGACTCAATGATGCCCAGGAGAACTACACCACCACAGAGAAGGAGCTCGCAGTGGTGTTTGCCTTCGATAAATTTCGCCCCTATCTGGTCTTGTCCCATGTGACCGTGTACACAGATCACTCCGCGATTCGATACCTGATGAGCAAGGCCGATGCCAAGCCTAGGCTCATACGATGGATCTTATTACTGCAGGAGTTTGATATTGAGATCGGGACAAGAAGGGAGCAGAATGTTGCAGCTGATCACCTCTCCCGGTTGGACGCACCTCCTGCGGACAACCTCGTGGAGGAGATCAACGACTCCTTCCCAGATGAGAGACTGATGATGATGTGCTTGGTGGAGAGTGTCACCCCCTGGTATTCTGATTTTGCGAACTATTTGGTGGGCCAGCAGCTGCCCAAGGGGATGACAACTCACACCAAGAGGAAGTTTTTCTCCGACCTGAAGTACTTCTGGGATGACCCTCATCTTTTTCGGATCGGAGCCGACGTGATCATCCGTCGTTGTGTTATGGAGAGTGAGATGGAGGGCATTCTATCTCACTGTCATGAGGGACCTACTGGCGGTCACCACGGAGGAAACCGCACGGCGAGGAAGGTGCTCCAGTCGGGCTTTTACTGGCCCACGCTCTTCAAGGATGCAGACGCCTTCGCACGCAGGTGCGACCGATGCCAGAGGTCAGGTAACATCTCTGCCCGTGATGAGATGCCCCAGAATGTGTTTATAACTTGTGAAAATTTTGGATGTCTGGGGTATCGACTTCATGGGCCCCTTCCCTCCATCTTTTGGCAATACCTATATTCTGGTTGCTGTTGACTACGTCTCTAGGTGGGATGAGGCGCAAGCTTTGCCCACTAATGATGCTAGACGTGTTTGTGGTTTATTGAAGCAGC